TAATAATAATAATATCAGTTACATTTTTAAAAACAAAATTTAGGGGTTGCAACTATAGCTCAGTGATAGACATGTGCTTAGAATGGACAGGGCCCTGGGTTAAAAAAAATTTTTTTTAAGTGTGTTTACTTTGCCATATGCAAATTGGAAGTTTAATTTTTCATTTGTCAGTTTGCTTTGGCTTTAAAAATTTATAAAAGGTTCAATCATTCTTGCCATTCTGGGGTAATGAATAGCACTCTAGTAAGCTGGGGTTATGGAGCCCCACCTCCCACTCTGGTCTTAAAATGACTGCTATCAACTATTTGGAAAATTGTTCTTTCTAGCTACTATAAAAATTCAAGTCTTTAAAAAATACTCCCCTAATGCCATCTTATATTTTTTCAGGATAGAAATAACTATCAGTGAACCAAGCATAGAATATACCTCCTTTTCCTTTTATTATGTTTCTCATGTTTCAATCTGATTGTCCAACTTCTTTCAACCACTACACTGCAACATACTTAAGAAATATTTTCTCTATCATTATCTTTTATCTGGATATAAATCAGCAATTACTTAGCTCCAAAAAAAGGTCTGAGGTCATAAATGAGGGCAGACACTAATTTAATCTGTTAAAGATTAAGATATTGTCTACTTGGTTTGGGACCACAGAGTGCAACCCAGGGCATTGTTTCTTATTCAAACTGACTTAACTCTTTCTCCCTCTCTTTCTCTCTTGCCCTTTGAATTAATTGAATTTTCTATAAAGAAAGGAAGTGCAATCTTGGTAAAATTTCCAAAGGTAATCTGAAATCTTTCTTCCTAAACTGTAAGTGAAACACAAAGAAATTGAGGGGTGTGTGTGTGTGTGTGTGTGTGTGTGTGTGTGTTCAAATAATCAATTAAAACAGTACAATTCAAGCAGTCAGAGGACTTGCAATAGCATCATACATCTGTTTATTTAGTTAGTATTACAATGATAACAGGTTAAGAGCACTAGATTGGTCTCCTGTTAGGATGATGATCAAGATTTCAATGTGTAAATTCCACTGTTCTTAAACATTAAAAATCTATTTTCCAAAAGAGTAATAATATATAGTACTATTAAGGGACAGATCTAAACTTTCAGATTTCTGATCAAAAGCATATTTGTTCCTTAGTTTAAACTAAACATTAGAGACATTTAACTGTTGCTTACTGCTTTTAGAAAAGCATAATGTTGAAGCAAATATACAGGAAACTTTTTCTAGAGTAAATTCAACCATTGTGTACCATGTCAACGAGAGAACCTGAGAATCCCAGATTATTATCTCCAGATCATTGTAATACACTCTGGCTTATTTCAACAATCAAACAACAAACATGTATCTAGCGCATACTATGTACAAGCCAGCATACTAAGCAATACAAGAAATACCAAGAAGTAAAATAGTTGGTCCTTGCCCTGCTTGGATTACCAATGTAGTTGGCAAGATTAAACATAAACACAAAGCATTGCACTTTCAGTGTTCTCCAAAAGTAGGGACTTATGTAAACTGGATTGCAAGAATCATTTTGCTGGAACCTAGAAATAGGGACATCCTCAGCCACGATGAAAGTCTTTGAATTAGATTTCTCCGTTCTATGTTAAGTGCTATGTGTACTCCTAAACCTGAAAGTTTTCCAGCCAGAGTCACACCTGTCACTGTTAGTGTTTGGACTTGAAATTGTTTCAGGACTTGTGACAGTGGGACCAGATAAATACGTATGAGTCTCCACTTACATACCCCCACACACAAAGCTCACAAGTAGGGTGATGCTTCTCCTATCCCCGCATTTCCTGGAAAGCTAGGAATTCAGGGGTTTTCACTCTCCGTGGAGAGGAAGCGGACCCACATTGTCATTTATTTTATTATTATAAGACAAGCAACTACAATAAGAAAAATATGAAAAATCTTCAAATTTCACTGGACACAGCAAAAAATAGAAATACTGGAGGAAAAGATAGAAAGGTCCAGCACAGATGGGTTTGAGGAGGCCTTGAAGTGGGGCAAAAGTTTCTTCCATTCACACTCCACTCCAACCCCTGGGGTCTCCCAAGAAAACGCCCGAGCTAGGCAAGAGGAGAAAAGGAAAGCGGAAACACATTTTCCAACACCACAAATAAATAAATAAATAAATATGTTAAACAAGAAAGTAACTTATTAGGCACCACTTGAAAGGCATCAACCCTCACGGATCAGACAGACTACACTCCAGCCTGCAGGCTGCGGTCACATGGCCAACCTTGCCAAGGCTCTTAAGTTGTCACCCTAGGTCTCTGCCAGCTAACCCTAAAGACCTACACTGGAGCAGGAAACCCAGTGTGCTGCTGTTCTTAGGTCTGGTCCACTTCAGCAGAAACTTGGGGAAAGTGCCCTCCCATTGCCCCAGGGTTTTAGAGGCTCTGGGGGAGGGGCTGTGAAATGAAAGAGCACTGCACTTCCGAGCTAGAAAGGAGACTGGCCTCCTTGACAGCCAGGGATCCTCTACAAAGGCTTGTGCTCAAGCTCCTTTGTGCTTCAAGAGGAGTGAGGGTGTGGGACTGCCTAGCGCCTGCCTGGGTGCGAACCGCAGACCTGTTTTAACTTACTAAGCACCTGGTTCTGCTCAGGATGGAGTGGGGGCTGTGGCGGATCCCAATAAAGCATGCTGCCCAATTTATTTCTGAGTGCAACTTCTCTCAAAGTTTTAAGTCTGCCTAGTTCACGCTTAAGTCGACTTGCCTTCAAGTAAAGCTCCCCAAAAGGAGAGCGGTAGTTCCCGAATCACTGAGAGGAGCACCAGGCGGGAGTCTGGCCGGGGCTGCGGGCAAGTTAGGAACCCACCCAGGGGGGAAACTCTGAGTTGCAACCTAGGCTAAGTTAAAACAAACAGAAATAACAGCTGGAGAGGCTGCAGACCGGACAGAGGTGGCAGCATTCAATGGGTGATCTGCACAGGCGGCGGGATAGTGGGGATGGAAGGACTGAAGTTACTGGTGTGGGGGTCTCAGGGGTGCGGAGCAGCAAGCACAGTGGAGGAAGAGGCCAACAGTGGGAAACAGAGGAAAAGGTGGTCAGAAAGCCTTCCCAATTTGTAAGCAAAACTCAATTCTACCTTGGTCTTCCTTAGGCTTTCTTAGGTCCTTCCACCCCAGGGGCGGAGGAGCCCTGCCCCAGGGTATCCCCACCGCACCGCGGGGGCACCGCTGCAGATAATATCTCTGCACACTCCGCCTCCCATCCAGTCTTCTCCCCCTTTCTTCACGCAGGTCCGGGACTCAAAGCGTGGTGATCCGGGAAGTGCAGGTGCCATTACGAAAGACGCCTCCAGATTCCAGGTTCTCTGGCTGGAAGTCTTCCACACTGTAGGCGCGGCTCTTGAGAGCGGTGGCATAGTAGTCGACGGGCTCCTCCGCGGCGTTGTCCATCCAGCTGAGGCACAGGATGCGCTGGAAAGAGCGCTTGAAGTTGTCCGAGAGGAAGCCATAGAGGATAGGGTTGGCGCAGCTGTTGGCGTAGCCGAGGATGACTGACAACTGGCTCACGGTGGCATCGTCCTGCTCGGCGAACACGTTGACCAGCTGCACCACGTAGAAAGGCATCCAGCAGATGACAAACACCATCACCACCATCATCACCATGAGGGTGATCTTGCGCTCCGAGCGCTTGCGCTGCTGCCAGCCGGCCTTGAGGGCCACCATGCGCATCTTGGCGATGATGAGCACATAGCACAGGCAGATGGCCCCGACGGGAAGCAGGAAACCCATGAGAAATGTGTACAACACGAAGCCCACGAGCCAGCGCTGGGCAGGCTCAGGCATGAGCATGTTGCAGGCCACTGTGCCGTCGCTGTTGGCAGCCGTGCGTGAGAAAACCACGATGGGAAGGATGACAAGCAGGGACAGCACCCACACGCCCAGGTTCACCACCTTGGCCACGGTGGGGCGGCGGTAGCGGGCTGCTTTGATGGGGTGCACCACGGCCACATAGCGGTCCACGCTAAGCACAGTCAGACAGTAGATGCTGGTGAACATGTTGACCGCGTCCACACTGAGCACGAGGCGGCAGAGCAGGGCGCCGAAGGGCCAGTGGCGCAACAAAGTGGAAGTGACCAGGAAGGGCACGCTGAGCATGAGCAGCTCGTCGGCAATCGCCAGGTTCAGGATGTAGATGTTGGTGGCCGTCTTCATCTTGGCATAGCGCAGGATCACGTAGATGACCATGGAGTTCCCACACAGCCCCACCAGGCACACCACGGAGTAGATGAAAGAGATGAGGATGGCGCTGCCCTGGCCCTCACTTAAGGTCCCGTTCTGGGACGCGTTCCGCCCAGGCTCCTCCATGCTGTCCGCAGCGCCGGCCCCGGGGCCCCTGCTGCAGCCGCCTTCGCCGCAGCTGCCCGGGCTGGGGCTAGGAGAGGAGGAAGGAGAGGAGGCGGTGCCATTGGGGAACATCCCAGCCGAGGGGGGCCGGTGGGGCCGCGGGCGCCAGGGCGTTCTTCTCGCGCCCCCGCCGCCTGCGCCCTCTTTAGACACCCAGCCGGTCGCCTGCAGCTCACAGCCACCTGGCGCCTCGGGGTAGACCGCAGCAGTGGCTGAGAAAGCAGCTCCTACCAGCGCCGGCGGGGCGCATCGCCGCGCCGCTGCCTGCGCGCTGCTTCTGGCCGCTCCGGGGAGTCTGGGCACGCGGGAGCTTGGGGAGACGCGGCCGAGGGGCTGGAGCCCAGCACGGCACAGCCATTAACTGGCGCAGCTCTGGACTGGTAAATGATTAATAGGCGCCACAAGCGCGTCAGCAACTGCGAAGAGGTGGGGGTAACCGGGGGGTTTGTTCTCCCTCCTCCCAATTTTTTTCTTTCCCAGGCACAACTAGAGAAGCACCTTAATAAGCGCTCCCTCACAACAGCATAGCGCGGCCCCCAGAGGGCCCGGGGTAGAGTCTCCACCTACATGGAGGGTAGCCAGGAGCCTAAGATGTAAATTCTGTCCACCCCACCCAACTCCTACCCAAAGCAAAGACTGAAACGAACTCCAAACACTGGTAGCTGGAGTTCATCTCAGTTTCCCTCAGTTGCTGCCCCCTCCTGTGGAGAACCCTAGCTCCTTTCCTGAGACGCTTTCTGGGACCCACCACCCGCCCCCGCCAGCCCTGCCCTTCCGACCTGCAGAGGAAGCCACGTGCCTCCTTCCCAAAGGGCTCTACCTCCGGACAGACGCGTAGATGGCCAGCACTAAGTGCGTGTGGTCCGGCGGCGCTGACGTTCTCGGGGGCGCAGTTCAACTCTCCCGGGCTCTGCCGCAGCCCAGTGCCCACGCAAAGACTCGCCGAGTCGTGGGAACTGATCCTGAGGTGCAAGCACAAAGAGCAGGAAGAGCCAGAAGGATGCTTCAGGGGATACTGAGTTGCAAGACTCAAGGCTGCTCTTGGCGGGCGAGGGCGTTCAGAGGTCTGAAGGAACCACTGCTAACCTCTTAATAAAGCTTGTCGAACCCACAGCCCCCTGTCTCCCACAGGAATATCAACTGTAGAAATCGGGACGCGGCCAGGAGCTCAGGAGGAGCTTCGGGCTCCCACCGGAGCGTGCCAGGCACGGTATTGGAAATCCATCTAGGTGTTCACTCGGGAAAGATAAGGCTGCTCGGCTCGCAACAGCTCCGCCCGCGTCCCGGCTGTACTTTGCACTCTGGAGAGTTGCCGGCGGGATGGGGGTGGGGAAAGGATGGCGCAGAGGTCTGGACCGCCGGGGATGCTCTCTCCTCTAAATTAACTTGAGGCTGGCTGTGCGGGTGACCAGACCTGCCACCAACCTCAGTTAGGATCCAAGGGAAGACGTTTGAGTTTTTCCATGCTGTGTTAGTGCCCTTGAGGTATAACCGGGCTGTTGTTCATGTACCTGAACCCTTAAGACAGACGCCTACGGGGGTGGCCCTGAAGCTTGCTGAGTTCATCCTGCAATTGAAGGTTTTCCGTGAAAGTAAGAATGTTTTTCAATAACCATGATTTTAGGTCATGCTGGGACATCCCAGCATCCTGCACTTCTAGTTGGCTTCCAGGTTGTTCCAGTCAAAGGAAAAATCGCGGTACATCCCCTGAATTCTTTCCAGGCACCCATCCTTCACTGAATCTCTGTGTTTGCTGGCCAGTACATTTAGCCCAAGGAGAGGCAAACATAAGCTAAACTCACAGAAGCGATCTGTCCCAGACAGGCTATCATATAGAAATGATGCACAAAATAAGCATACAAAAAATAATGCTTAACACCCTGCTGCCTTCTTCCAGGTAATGATTTACACGTAAGTGTTTTAATTCCCCAAACTAAATGTTCTTGGAAGAGAAAGAATAGTTTGTAGTGTGTTGATGATAGAACCAGAGGTTAAAATAAATGTCAATAGACTGTCATAGGAATGTGTGTGACGACATTGGATTAGTAATAAGAAAAGCGCTAGGATGGAACGTGAAATTTCATATGGCTGAAGCTGTTTAATATAAATGAAATTTGTCTACTGTGAGACAGGGAATTATTTCAATTATGTTTCTTTTTATTCTAAAAATATAGCACACACAGAGAGGAAACAAGGAATGTTCACCAGATTAACCCCCAACCTCAATGAAAGTTGCCCCTCCCCCAAGGGCATTTTGTCAGCCTCGCTGCACGGTGCCTTACAGTCCTCTGCCACTCATGGACTAAAGACCTCAGGCTGTACTTCTGGGGGATGGCATATTAACAGTCATCCTATAGAGGCCTTGACTTTGATCAGAGTGGCTCTAGGGGTAGTGGGTGCTGGGATTTGGTAAAAAGTAGTTTTGCCATTAAAATTTCATTAGACTCACTCCGTAGCTCATGTAAAAAAAAAATACTCTCAATTAAGTTGTGGCTCTACATACAAAATAGAAACACTTAAAATCCGACATGAACACGACCTCTCCACTTGTGAATTGTTTCCTAGGAGGGACAATTTACCTATTAAAAGAGATTGGCTTCGAGATAGCACTTTGCATCCACTAAAATGTCTGTAATGATTTTTAAAAACAGAAAATAAATGGTAGAGAGGATGTGGATAAAGTGGAAAACTCATATATTGCTGGTGGGAGTAAAAAGTGATGCAGTTTTAGCAAAAATGTTTGATGATTCCTCAGAAGGCATGAGACAGAATCACCACATGATTCAGCAGTTCCAACTCTCTTCTTTACTCTTTAAAATTAAAAAAAGAAAAGTATTGGAACAAAAACTTGCACATGAGTGTTCCAATAGCCCGCAAATGGAAACAACCTAAATACCTATCAATTGATAAATGAATAAGCAAAAAGTGGTTTATCTGTGAAATGGACTATTATTCATTCTTTAAAAGCAATGAAGTCCTGGTACATGCTAGAACATAAATGAACCTTGCAGACATCATGCCAAAGGAAGGAAGCCAGACACCAAAGGTCTTGCATTGTGTGACTCCATGTATGTGATATGTTCAAGCTGGACAAACATAGGGACAGATAGCAGATTAGTGATTGCCAGGGCTGAGGACATAAGGAAATCGGGCAGAGCTAACCCTTGAGCAGGACGTTATATTTTTAGGTGAGGAAAATGTTCTGGAATTAATGATGATGATTGGACAACATTGTATCACACCAAAACCCTCTGAATTGTATACTTTCAAGGTTAAAATTAAGAATATTATACAAATTTTACTTTAAGTAAAAAGTGATTGAGACATGCAATGTTAGTAAATCTCTTCAGCTATGTTTTTGTCATTGCATCTGTGAAGCGAACTATGAGCAAGCAAAAGACAAAAACAGGGTGGCCCTTCTGGACTAAGCAGCTGTGGATTGGAGTTGCAGCTGTTTTTAAATCATACAAAGATCAAGAGCCTGTTAGGAATTTTACCATCCCCTGAGACCTCATGCAATATAAATATTTCCTAAAGAAATGGGAAAATTAATATAGGCTTGGGATGGCTATAATGCTGAGTCCACAGCTTGTGAAAAGTCAGGACTCCAGCTCCTCTTGTATCATACTGAAAACTTTTTTATTTTTTAACGCATATGTTTAAAGTCTTGAACAGTTTGGGAAGAGATTCTTTTTTGCTTCCAATATACGTGTCTGCCTACTTTCCCTACTTTGCTTATCATCTTCCCCGTGCCTCCACATTGGGAACATTTCTAGATGGAAGTAAAAGATAGAAGGAAGGATTGCAAAGTGTTAACTGTGGAAGTTTTGGATTCTTAAGGAGTAGTTTTCTTCCAACAAACTGTTCTCCCCTGTGCTATCCTGGGCCAGGGGCATGCTATGATTATTGCATTCATCCCACTGTACTCTGTGTGTGTGTGTGTGTGTGTGTGTGTGTGTGTGTGTGTACTTGGCTGTTCCACCTCATAAATCTGTGAGCTTGTTGAGAACAAGAGCTATATTTTATTTATCTTTCTGTCCTGAGAAGCCCATGCAATATTTAAGAAATCACCCCAAATCTTATTTTGTTTTTTCAAGGCATCCTAGGAATAATACCATTTTCTTTTCTTGCTTATAAATTGTAGATGCAAATATATGAACTGTGGGTTTCTTTTAAGAAAAGCTTTAATGTCTGGGTGACGCTATCATCTGTAATAATTCCTTCTATACTGTTAAATTGTTCCGAGTCATGCCAATTTGCATGTTCTGTATCAACAGTTATTATGCTGATGATTCATTCATTGATCATTCTCGGTCTTAAATTTCTTGGCAGAGAAAAGGCTCTGGAAAATGGGTGGTACATGCTTTAGTAGCTAATGATGGTTATTTAATAGCACCATGCCATGTGAAAGCCATTATACATAGATGATCATTTCTTTTTAATTGCAGTCCCGAGTCTCAGTTGGTTTGGTCAAATTGTAATTATCAGGTGCTTCAAATCTGCTTCTGTTAAAATCATTAGTAATGTGGTTTTTCTAATGAAAACTGGTAGTAATCCTCAAGTGAGCTCTTCTATGCCCAGAGAAAAGGACTAGTTAGGGCCAAGGATTAAAGAGGACACTTCCTGCAACATGTTTTGCAGGGGCATCATGTTACAAACACCTGTCTGGGCAGATGGGACCAAGCTGAGTAGAAGGGCCAAGCACGACTCAGCAATATGACCCAAAGTGGAGAATAAAGGACTTTAGGACCATTTGCCATGAAGCAGCTAGCATGATAGCAGCCTAAAGAGAAAGTTCCTGGGGTGCAGAGTGACTACAGGGCCAAGGAGGAGTCCTAGACTTCACTTCCCAGCAATGCCCAATCACTTCACAGCAGCCTTGGCAGCCTGGGGTTCAGTTCATCACCAATCTCAGCAAATTCTTCTAGGCCTGCTGATTTTCCTATTGCCTCTTCTGTGAAACAGCAGGATACAGTCTTTTCTGTGCTTTCAGAAAAGACATATTTACTGTAACAGCGCACATCCTTCCCTATGGATCATCTATTGCTAAATAATATTTCTAAGAACAAGAATTCAGCATTCATTATTGTTAATGGGTAAATAAAAATAAAACAAAAGTAGTTACCTGTATTACTTTAAATGTTGTTATCTGCATTACTTTAAATCATCCTTATCAGTAACATATTTTTTTGTAATAAAGTCTCTGTTAGTTAATGATTATAGATAGCACATAGTTTCAAAAATTTTGTCAAAATCTGTTGTGACTTTATAGCAGAAATCAAAATGATGCTTCCAAAGTCACAAAACCATATTTTTGTTTCACATGATGCCTCAATTCATGCTTGAGTTTCAGCAGAACATTTAAATATTTACAGCAAATCACCTATTCCTTAAGATATGGTTGTTCTT